TGGAATCCACAGTTAATGGCAAAGTCAGTATAAGTGCCAGAGATGAAAAAGGTCTGTTGTTAACTGAAGTGCAACAGCCAGTATATAAGCAGTAAAGCCTACACCAGGGGGCACCAACTGTATTTGTCAGAGGGCAAATACAGTTGGTTTATTTTAAATCGTCGTCATGGGCCAGCTGATGGAGAGCAAATAAAGAATCGTGTTGATGTTGTAGGTAACATATAGCAGTTCTGTTTAAAATGGTTTTGGGGTTAATGCATTTATTATAAAGTTTTAAAGTGTAAGGAGTGAGTTTGGTTATGAAAAGACAGGACTGACCTCATTTCAGTGTTTCATGCGTGAGCCAGTCAGGAAGATCTTATCACAGTGAGGCCCAGACTGCAGCGGGGACATCGACACAGCACGGCTCAATATGCTAATGTCTCTGAACTTTAATAAAAGAAGTCTATAAATTTGACATCGTCCCTCTGTTTTAGTTATAAGAGACTTTGAACATTTCAACACCAAGTCATTTCCTACCAATACACACATCAATAAAACTTTACTTTGCTCCATAAAAAAGTCAAATACTCTGCACTGCTGAAATAACTAACCCCAGAGCAGAGAAGCTTCTGTTCCCAAGAGCTGTGGATGAAACTCATCCTTCGTACACTGTCTCGTCTCGTCACAGACATGGTGTTGTGCATGCGTTTGATCCCAGGGTGGCCAACTTCCCCATCCTCCACTCCACCCACCATCCACATGAAAGAGCAAAGAGTGTAAGGAGATCTGGCAACATGGGGAGGATTTGAAGGCTGGGGAGCAGAGTGAGGCACGAGGAGGGGAAAAAGTCTGAACCCTGCAGGGAATAGACTCAGATTTAAACAAATATTGGTTCCAAAGACAGTGAGACAACATAACGCAGAAACAGAAGTAGGAGATCCTGTCTCTGCTCTTTTGAAATGTCATAGCTGCATAAGACAACTGGACATCAAAAGACATCTGAAAGCCATTGTATTTCTGTCTGCTATTGTAAGGAGCTCGAGGCAAAGTGTGCGACTCTTCAGTGGAGTCACAGATAGAACAGACGGGAAGAGAGATTCTAAGCATATGTAATAAGTGTGCAACCACTCAGCCTCAGCCGCTCTGACCTCTAACCAGGTCCAGACCTATAGGTTTGTGTTTCGTGGTTTTCCCTGCACAGACGAAGTCAAGCCAAGGTTTAGAGGTCACAGTGCAGAGGCACAGCCAGTAACACCGTTTCTAACTAACTCCAGACCGCAGCTGAGGCTCAGGGAGATTATTTTAAGAAGAGGGTGATTCTCTTTTTGAGACTATAGAGGCAAATAATACAAAAAAAGTATGAAGTTTGCTGTTGTAATGTATTGTTCTGTCGACTTGACAAATACTGAAAAACTGAAAAATGTGAGTTTAAACAACAAAATTAATTTTAGTTAGACAAGAAAGAAAATTAGGTGATAGCCACACATGTGCTAATATGCTAATGCTGTCTTTTCACCTGTCAGCAGTTCAAAAGAGAAGTTCTTCCTCCAAAAAAATAAGTTCAAAATAAAATCTTTAAAATGATGAAGCAGCCGCCGTGTGGTGGACATGATTTGATGAATGTGCTGTAAGTGACGAACTTTGGTCCAACTTCCCTTTTATTGATCCGTTGATAAGTGAGTGCTGCTGAGCTGACAAATCGGACTGGAAGCGTTGGCAGTAATGGAGCAAACCTGTTCACTGAGGCTCCACAGTGAGGCGCTTTGTCAATCCTTCAGCCTCCTGGGAGCTTCACACAAACAAACAAACACACACACACACACACACCGTGTGCAGCTCCTCCACAGACCTGTCATTTTGCAGCCCACTGGTCAGAACAGTGTGAAGCCCGGTCCTGTCCATCAGAACTAGAGGGTTATCTAAGAGTGTGTTCCTCCTCACGCTGTCAGCACCTGCTCCGTCTGCATCATCACTAACAGCTCTTATCTTCTACTCTGCATGCTCTTCCTCAATCGCTCTCTCAGCTGCTGCTCTTCAGCCTCGGCTCTCCTCATATATTACATTTCACCCACTCAGAGGAAATGGACACTCGTCTCATCAACAGCCAGAGACCTGGACCGTACTCAGGCACTCACATCTGCAGACTGTAAGACCTGAGAGACAACCAGGCACTTAGTACCTGAAAAGCATGACTGGAAGTCCTCTGATTGTCCTCTTATGAACCGTATCAGCAGTTTTTACACTTTTAATATTTTGGGCTTTTACACGTTCCTGTCGTTTTGGCTCCTGTGTTTATGGGGTTTTGTTTTGGGTATTTTTGAAGCATACTTTTCTTTAGTTTAGTGCTCGTGCCTTGCCTGTGCATGGCCGTTGTCACAGTGAACCCCGACCCCAGCTGATGACTGCTTTGATTGGCTCGTCCTCCTCCTGCAGCCAATTGTTTGTGTTGTATCTGGTTAATAATAATGACATCTAATTGATTGACAACATCTTCGTCTGATGATGTCATGACGTAGTCATGATGGCTGGGTCGTGCTGATCTACAACAACAACACACAAGTGTTTTCCCTTATTGCAATGCTTCGCCCCTGGACGCCAAATGTTATTTAATCCATCAATTTTAAGCATCTTTGTATAAACACTAAGACTGATTTGAATTTATGTTTCACTCTGAGTGCTTAGACTGCAAAACTTATAAAACCCTTTAAAATTACTAAGCTGTCACATCTTTCCAGTGAACACAACCATGTGTTTTTACAAAACAGTCATTTCCAAGGTTAAGCAAAAGAGAGGCAGAAAATATCCACCAAATGGAGGCTTAAATCTGGAGGCAGTGTGTAGGAGCAGAGAGACGGAAGGTAAAAACTTCAAATGCACATTCTTCCTTTCACTGCGAAGAAACAGTTATGGAACAGTTAACCTTTACTTCAGAGGTAACATCATCATTTAGAAACAGACACATCAGAAGAGTCTGACTTATACTTGAGCCATAATGAAGGGCAGAAAGTTTCCAAAAAATGAAAAGAAAGTGAATGTAGCACAGTCCAAATGTAAACAAACCACTTTTCAGTGTGATGACATAATCGTCCACTTCTCCAATCAGTTCCTGTGCCCTACGTTAGAACGACCAGGTCGAGCAGCCCAGATTTTGATTGACATGTGGCTCCAGCATTGAACCCTGACCTCCTGCTGACTCCCTGTAGTAACACGTTTCCATCCACAGTTGCTGTTCCTTTTGTGCTCTCAGTAACATTTGCATCAACACATTGTCCGAGATTTTTGTTCTACTGACCCACACACACACACTCTCTCTCTCACACACACAGCCTGTGTGTGTTTCTGGCCATCAGTTCTCACTGCCAGGGTTTGTTTTGTATTTTTCATTCAGGCGATGACTGTCACCGAGAAAAGGCTGAATGGATGATGCAGCCATTAATCCTTTTTTAGTCCGTGTTACAATACGATCCAGACACTTCTGTTGATGAGAGCTTGTGACACGGCACTCGGTGATTGATTTAAATCACCGACAGTGCTGCTGAGAAAAGATCAAGGTAATATGCTTCAAGTGGTGACGGCTGTGAATTAAAACACTGGATCTAGTTCTGTTGACATTGTCTGGAGTAAGACTTCATTCATTATCCCAAATGGAGCAGAATGGTTCATCCCTACAAGTAGTCGGCATCAATCTGAACCGCAGACACTGTTTTTCTTCAGCTGCTGCTGTGAGCTGTCAATGTGAGACTTGAACCATGTATGTGGTTAGTGGCTCTGGAAACTCCAGACATTCCTTCAGAACCGTTCAGAGAGAAACAGCCAAGTATCTAAAACCATTATTTGTCTTAATGGAATCTCTCTCGAACACACACACACACACACACACACACTATTGGACGGTG